GATTTCCCAATTTTCTTCCGCTGCTATACGTGCTTGGTTTTCTTTTCTCTTATCTTACTAATTAGCTATTTGATTTGCATCAATCCTAAATACAAGAGGGACTGAATTATTATTATTACTGTTATCTTAAGTTGCTAAAAAAGGGTTCAAGCTAAAAAATTAAAATGCAAAAGTGCCAAAAGTAAAAGTCCTCCTCCAGCTATTCCTGCACCCACTTGCTGGACTTTGTGTTTTTTATGTAGCCTTTTAGACTTTCATATCTCAACAGGTTCATATATGTGTTTATGCAAAATGTGAAAGTTCAAGTGCATTTTCACATTTGTGAATGTACACATGCATATATTGACATTTATATTTGTTTATAATATTTATAATTGTATATCTTTTTTTTGCAAAATCGAGATATACAGAATGTTCTAAGACTTTATAAATCAGCAGTATATCTTTATTTGTTTATTTTTAAAGATTTTTAAATCATGTTTATTCTATCACTGTTGTCTCAATTTTCCCCCTTTACCCCCTCTACCCATCTCCCCCACCCCCTGCTCCCACAGTCAATTCCCACTCTGTTGTCCATGCCCATGGGTCATTCATACATGTTCTTTGGCTAGTTCCTTCCCCTTCTTTCCACCATCGTCCTCTTTCCCCATCCCCTCTGATCATTTTTAGTCCGCTCCATGTTTCCATGCCTGTGGTTTATTTTGTTCGTTAGTTTATTTTGCTGAACAGATTCCACTTACAGGTTAGATCATACGGTATTTGTCTTTCACAAATTGGCTTATATCCGTTAGCACAATATTCCTCAGTTCCATCCATGTTGTTGCAAAAGGTTGGAGTTCTATCTACCTATCTATCTATTCCTTTCTTTCTTCTTTTCTTCCTCCCCCCTCCCTTCCTCCCTCCTTCCCTCCCTCCCTCCTTCCTTCCTTCCTCTTTTCTTTCTTTCTTTCTTTCTTTCTTTCTTTCTTTCTTTCTTTCTTTCTTTCTTTCTTTCTCTCTTTCTTTCGTGCAGACTGATTTTTTTAATGTCAATTATAAAATATTAAAAAATTTAAAACCATTATAAAGTCTCAACAATTAAAACATGACAACAGCACAGAAATAATCAAGTAGATCAATGAAATATAATGAACATTCTAGAAACTAACATATGTATCTCTCTAACAATGTAATATATGATTCAATTGATATTTCAAATCCATGGGTAAAATAAGGCTTATTCAACAAATAAGGTGCATGGAACACTATTGCTTGAAATAAAACAAATATAGAGCCCTATTTCACATGTTATACAAGAAATATTCAGGTGAGTTAAAATCAATATATAGAGTCTAAAGAGTTTTAGGAGAAAATACAAACTAATATTTTTCTTACTCTGAAGTAAAATATTCAAACCCAAAAGCTATAAAGTAAAATATTGACAATATGACTATATTAAACATTTAAGACTATACAGTAATATACATATAAAAAATTAAAGGACAAGTAATAAAATGAAAAAGTATTTGCCACACATCTAAAAAAGGGTTAATAGTTGTTGGATTTTTTTGTTTTCAGGAAAAAACTTCTACAAACCTTTAATCAATAAATGGATAGAGAATACCAAAAGTCATTTAAAGCTTTTTAAAATAATAGAAATAGTCAAGAAATATATAAAAACAGGTTTAGTTTCAAAATATAATAAAGGAACAATTAACACACCATTGTCACAGTCAGATTAATATGTATTAAAAATATTGGTAATATCAAGTATTGGCAACTCTGAAAGGAACTGGGTATTCATAGACTTTTTCTTCATCTTCTTAAAGCAGTCCCTTTAGCATATTTTGCAGTGCTGGTTTGGTGGAGGTGTATTCTTTTAGCCTTCTTTTGTCTGGGGAAACCCCTTATTTCACCTTCTGTTTTAATTGAGAGCCTTGCTGGGCAGAGCAGTCTTGGTTGTAGGCCTTTGCTTTTCATGACTTGGAATATTTCTTGCCATTCCCTGCTGACTTGCAATATTTCTGTTGAGAAGTCAGTTGCTAGCCATGTTGGGGCTCCCTTATATGTTACTACTTCCTTCTCCCTTACTGCCTTTAGGATTCTCTGTTTGTCTTTGATATTTGCCATTTTAATGATGTGTCTTGGAGTGGGCCTCATTGGGTTCCTCTTGTATGGACCCTCTGTGCTTCCTGGACTTGTGTGACTTTTTCTCTCCTCTAATTAGGAAAGTTTTCCATCATGACTTTTTCAAACAGGTTCTCTATCTTTTCCTCATCCTCTTCTTCTCGTATCCCTATTGTATGGATATTATTACTTCTCAGGTTGTCTGGCATTTCCCTAAATGCTTCTACATGTGTTTTGAGTCTTTTTTCATTTTCTTGCTCTTTCTGGGAGCTTTTTTCTACCTTGTCCTCCAGCTCACTATTCCATCCTCCGCTTTGTCTAGCCTGCTTTTGATTCCTTCTACTGTGTTCTTCAATTCAGAAATTGTATTCTTCATTTCCTCTTGTCTCTTATGGATAGTTTCTATGTCCTTTTTCATGCTGATGTAGTTTGCAGTAAGTTCCTCCTAGTTTCCCTGTAGTTTTTGGTAATTCTCTCTAAGCTGACAGAGCTCATTGAGCCTCCTTAGAACCATTGTGTTGAATTCAATATATGATAGTTTACTTGCCTCCATTTCATTTAGTTCTCTTTCTGGGGATTCCTCCTTTCCCTTTGAGTAGGGGGTATTTCTTTGTCTTCCCATTATTTGTGAGATTCTTCTTTTTGGCTTCTGCTTCTTAAGTTGATCTGTCTTGATTTCCTGACTTTGTGATGTGAACTTCTGTGGTAAGAGACCACTGTTTTTTCTTTCTGGATCTGCCTCTGATAATGTCAGATGTTGTCCCTGTCTGACCATAGCCAGTCTGTTTGAGACTTCCGGTAATCTACTGTCTGTGGCTGTCTCCTTCAGCTGTTAATCTAGTCACTCTGCACTCAGCAGGTGGCTTAGACAGCACAGGGCAGGGCGGAATCCCACCTGGGGGCAGGGCTATTGGGTCCTCTAATGGTGCTGCCACTCAGGGGGAGTGGTCTCTGCCTGACCAAGATGGATTCTGCTGCATTGGGGATGAGTCAGCACCACGATCCCGCTGGCTACTCTCTCAGTTCTCTCCCCAAAGCTTTCTTCCCCTGTCTCTCCTTAGGTGTCTCTAGCCCACTCTGTCTGTGCCTTTGCCAGAGACCAGGGTCAGTGGCTGCAAATAAAAATTTATGCGTTGGCTCTTTAAATAGCTCTTTGTGTCTCCAGCCGCCCATCTCTGGCAGAGAGCAACCCTGCTGTTTTTCTCAGCTGGCTCTTTTCTTTGTACTTTCTGGGCTCTGGTGCTGTAGGCTGGAGATCCCTGCTTTTGGTTTAGACCCCACTCTTCTCAGGAGTCCAACTTGCCCTTTCAGTATTCTGGTGCTGCCGCCCATGGTTGTCCTGCTCACCTTCTTGAGTCTCTACAGCATTCCTTACCAGTTAGATTGCAATAAAGCTGATTCTTCTGTTTCCGAGGGTACAAGGCTCCTCTTTCTATTGTTCAGTTGTTTGTTCGAGGTGATTTCTCCCCAATTTAGTTGTAATTCCAGAAATGGTCCTGGGAGGAGGTCATTGTGACTTCCACTCACTCCTCCACCATCTTAATTCCTCTCCAGTAGTGTATCTTATACATCCCTTTGTGACAGTTACATGTCTTACCTCATTCTTTTTTTAAATTTAAGAAAATTAAAAAAATTCTTTATCCTCATCCAAGGATATGTGCATTGATTTTAGAGAGAGGACATGGGTAGAAGAGAAAGAGGGAGAGAAACATCAATGTGAGAGAGAAACGTTGCCTCTTACATGTTCCCCGACCAGGGACCGAACCTACAACCCGGGCATGTGCCCTGACCAGGAATTGAACCTACGACTTTCTGGTTAATGGGTGATGCTTCCAACCAATGGAGCCACACCAACCAGGACACCTTTCTTTTTTAATGGTTTCACAGTATTTCATAGAAGGTATACATCATCATTTCTATAATCAGTCCTCTATTATTGCATATTTATATTGTTGTCTTTTTCTTTTCCCCCCTCTATTTCAATGCTGCTGTGTGCATGTGGGAGCACTTTTCTTGGCTGGATACCTGGAAGTGGAGTTACTGATTGTAGTTCTTGTCTTAAAGTCATTTTTACATTTTTCCCTCAACTGTGCTTTATGATGCTTTGCATATACAAGGCATTTAATAAATATTAAAGTGAACGCTTAAGGGTTTTCATTCTGCATTTCTCCTTAGCTTGCTATTTCATTTTAATAAACTGTTTTATGACACCCTCATGCCTATTTCACTTCCTCTAAAGTGAATGAAAGTTTTGGTTATCCAGTTCTCATTAGAAGGAACTAAGGTGAAATTAGTATGTGTGGCACTGGGGAGTATACAAAGGTAAGTAAAGGAAGCCCCAGCCTTCCATGTATTTACAAACCAGTAGGATAAAGCAGGTAGGATGTGTGGTATGTCCCTAAGAGGCACACATGAGTTCTAATGGGAGCGTTAAGGAGCAGGAGAAATGCTACTTCACTTGGGTGCTATCAGGGAAGATCCCACAGAGAAGGGGACACTGCGATGCCCTGAAAGGAAAGGTAAGATTTGGGCAGGTAGAGGCATATGAGGGGTGGGGGGCTGCTGGTGGTTCTTGGTGGAAGAGTAGCATAATCAATTCAGAAGGGGTGGGAAAAGTGAGAACTCAGGTTGCCCTGGTGCAGGCAGGGAGCAGAGGAGGTGAAGCTAGAGAACCAGCAGGGGACCTGCTGTGGTCAGCCTGGAATCCAGACAGGTTTGGCACTAATCTGATAGGTGCTGTGCTGTGTCAAGAGGTTTGGAATGGAATTATATTATTGGAGTTCGTCTTAAGGAAGTGGTGTCAGTGGTCAATCTGGTGCATAGTTAAAGGCTAATCTTCCTTTCCAGAGGTTTCTGTGATAAAACTTTTTCCCATTCCTCAATTCTTTCCTTAGCTTTCTGAAAATGTGGTTAACCGCATGAAGGATTCCAACCAGCCTTCCAAAGTGGGCCAGCCGACTTTTCCTCCTGCTCCTCCATCCTCCACATTTGGCACCTCTAAAAAAGGCCCGGAGAAAGGTATGGCAGAGTGTAGTGATTCTGTGGAAAGCTGGAGTGGAGTGTGAAAGGAATGATAAACCACATTTCTGTCAGAACATATTTGGCAGCTAATGTGGCTCCAGTTTGTTTCTGGGTGATACAAACAACTCCTTTCTGATAATTACTTTTGAGGAGAGTGTGGTTTCCATGCATGACAGGTGCTGTCTGGTACAGTGAGAACAGCACAGGTTAGTTAGAGCTTCTGTGACTGGGGCCACACTATTTTGACTTACTGTTTCAGTTTCTCTATATGTAAAAAATGAGGCAAAAAGGCTTGGTTTGACAACTCCTGTAAGAAGTTCCTTTTAAGGATTCATAAGCAAAGCATAATTATTAATGTTGGTATGGTCCAAAGAATGACAGAGTTTTACATGTATTGGGACAATTAGGGGGATCTGAGTGGGTCACTCTGGCATCAACCTCAGCAACACTAACCAAGCCCACAGGTTCTGGTCCTGGTGGTCTGGGCTTCTGGAAGGGCCCTTTATCCTGTACCTCCCAGGAGTTCTTCCTGCACCCATGCAGGGCTCTAAGCTGATTTGTTCACTATTGTTTTTCACCCATCACAAATGAAGAAATTTCTGGTTTTCTCTAAATAACTACTTTCAGCAAACACAAAGGAACAAAAAGGTTTAAGAAAGGAAGTGTAAGGTACAAAAATGTTAAGATATTACAAACTACAAAAGTCTTGGGGCAATTGCTGTTCATGAGAATCTGGGTCTTAGCTATTATTTGTAACTTGTGTGTACTTTTTCACCAATTGACCGGAGGAGCCATGGCACTATGGAGTGTAAACTCTGTCTCACCATTGATAACTGTTTGTTGTATCGTGTGTGCTCTTGCATTAGAGTTGTCTTTTCTGCTAATCCTCCCTATTAGGTTATAAGATTATAGAAGGTAGGATCAATATACTGTCCATTCATTATATATGCAAACTAGCCAGGGATCAGGACATGTGCTTCCTGGACACAGTGACAGGTAGAAAGGGACACCATTCTTACGGCACCCACAGCTCTAGTTAAGGAGCCAAATATACATATAACCTTGTAGGGCACGTGTATCATGTGATGCTGCAACCTTAGATGCATGCCCAAAGTTTAAGGCAGCGCAGAGGAATGAGTGATTCATTATTTCAGGGCAGGGCTCCAAGAGGGGATGACTTTTGAATTGGGTTTTGAAAGCTAGAGCAGTGGCAGACAGGTGGTACAGGCATGGTGAATAGCATCAACAGAGGGCCAGAGGTGGTGCAGCCTGGTCAGTTTGTGGACCTTGAAGCAGCTTGCTATTGCTAGAGTAGAAAGTAGAAGGAAAGAGGAGGTGTAAGGGCCGTGCTCAGGGGCTAGGTCCTGAAGACCACACAGTGGCGAGAGCGCTTTGGCTTCATCTCATGGACAGAGTACTGGCCAGGCCTTCTACATCTCTCTCCCTGTATTGTCTGCCTCAGGGCTTCCTGAGCTTTAGGGCAAATCAGTACCTGTATTTGCACCCACTGCAAGATCTTTTTGAATATTCTATTAGTGAAGGGGCTGAGTGAGGTTCCCAAAACCCATACAAGATGCCCCCATCCTTTATCTTAAGGATTCCAGTGATTTCTCTAGCTGATTGATGAGTTGAAGTGGGTCTAACTTAACCCAGGGCACTTTAATAAACTGCAGTAACTGGTGGGAGGGAGAAGTAATGAAAAAACAAAAATTTCCAAAATATGTACACATCAGTTTTAACATTGGAAGATAAAAGAAGCATTTATTTCAGTTCGGTAAGTTTCAGTAGTGTAAGAAGCAAGAATCGTGGTTCATTTGTCATTTGGCTTTAGTTATAACAAAGTCTTTTGTTGTTTAAATGATGAGTGTGAGTTTTGAGTTTCCGAATGCTGAAGAATTGTCAGCATAAATGGACTGTCTTGGAGTTGATTAATTTTAAAATATTTTTACCTTTAAAATCAGTGCTTGCTTTTATTTTAATGATAGAACTAATTAGAAAAAGAAGTTAAAATTAAATCCTTATGTTACACTATTACCTCAAAATAAATGTCAGAGGCAATACAAGATTTAAATGTAAGAACTGAAGCCATAAAAATGTATAACAGTACATAAAAGTACAATAAGTAGACTTTCTAAGCACTATATCAAATGAAGAAATCCTAAATTATGAAGAAAAGTGGGTATTGTAACTAGGAAATTAGAGACAGTTTTAAAAAATAAATGAAGAATAATAAAACTATAGGAAATTATAACATGACAGAGTATTGGTAGTTTAATATATAAAGAGTTCTTAAAGATTCTTAATAGAAAATGTACAGAAATGGTTATATACATGTGATGAGATAACAACTTCACTAACAATTAAAGACATATATTAAAAAATGAGCACTACCAAGGGGACAGGGATATGGGCAGGCTCACAGATGGAACGTGGGAGTGTGGATTAGTGCTACTTTCTCTACAATGGATTGATATATTTCATACATTATTTTTGTAGCAATAAAAAGGGAAAATTGTATAAAAAGCAAAAATAGGATAAATTATAACTCAATAAAGCAGTCATAAGCAAATAAGGAAGAACATGGAGCATTAATGTCAAAATAAGAACTGGTCAGCAGTATACTATTTTTTATTCCCAGTTGAGAACCTGTCATGTTACTATGGAGCATTTAGGGGTGCCTTCCTCGCAGGCCAGAGCACTACTGGACCCATCCTTCTGTAGGGGGTCTGAAAGTAGGAACCATAGGATGATTACTTTTGGAAGTTGACTCCCTGAGGGGTTGAGTGCTCCAACCTGAGAGTGCTTTAAAAGGTCTTGGGAGTGGAAGAGCAAATCTTCATGTATTCTTTCACAAAGCCTGGTTCTTCTATAATATTCTGTGCAGTTCTAGTCGCTGCCACTTTAGAAGCCTATGCTGGAGGTGTAGGTCCTTTGGCTAAAGCCATAGAAAAGTGTTGAAATTTGGCTGAGGGATGGGAAGGATCAAGGCTGGAGGAAGGAGGAGAACAAAGCATTCAGTATCACTAAGTGGAGAGGAGAGTAGAGTGAATTGGATTTGCTCAGAAATCTCCAAGTTCATGACCATCAAAAGGTAGACTGTAACTATTTAAAGAACCCAATAATACTTGAGGTTGATTTAGGTTAAATGATATAAAATACCATTAATAGTGGGTGTTTGCCATATTCAGGATTAGAAATTCATAGAATGGGGTACTAAGAGTAACAAGAGTTAAGGAACCTCCCCTTCTCTTCTTTCCCTCGTGTCAAAACTGAGACCCCGGAGTCTATCCTTTCAGCATGAGGCATGAAGTGGTCCCTCAGCTGTTCCTGGCCTGTGTGGAGTAGAAGACTTAGATTCCAAGTAATTTTAGAGTGAGTAGGGTTGGATTTGAAACAATGCACTCAAATACTTATGCCTATTGCCAGTCCCATGTGTTAGAGGTTCTGATGCAGAATGAGGGATTGGAAGGCCTTTGGACTGTCCCTCTCCAGAGTGGCTGGATCAAGGATGTGTTCTGTGTCCATCCCTGGGGCATGCCCTTCCTTGGGAGTGCATTCCTGAGCCCCTTTCCTGGATGACTGTCATGCTTTCCTTTGTCCTGTGGTGCTGGTGACAGGCCTTTTCTTCTCATCCCTTTGCAGACTCCGAACTGCCCAGGTTGGAGTGTGGTGGTGGCCAGCTGCCCCCAGGGGTAGAGGAGGATCTCCTTAAGAGGTGAGTGTGAGCGCCCACTCACCCCTGGCTCTGTGCTCTGGCTTAATGCTCTTCCCTTAGTGGGGACCTTTCCCTGGCCGGAAGGCCCTCAGTTTATCTTACATATTTGTCTTATTTAGATTGTATGACAACCCTGTGGCATTGGTGGTACTAGTCCTAGTTTAGAGATGAAAAACACCAGAAGGGGCATGCGGGAGTTGATTGCTAATGTTCTCAAAAAGTCACTTGAAAAAGGGAGGACTAAGTAGTTTAGTGTCTGGACCTTCTGTGTGTGTGTGTGTGTGTGTGTGTAGGCCTATTTTTAGAGTTATGGAGAAAGTGAAGCCCTCAGAATTCTAACTGTAGTTGGTGAGATGGACTATGCTGGTGACCTTCCATCAGCATAGACCAAAACCCTGCAGAGCTGGCCTTACCTCTGAACTGGGACCTGCTTCACTTCCTGAGGCTTGTAGAATAGTGGTTAAGGCACAGAGGCTCTCCTAGAGTACAGGTTTGCATTCTGATTTTGTGACTTCCTGGTGATGTGACCCTGGAAAATCATTGCATCTTTCTAGGCCTCTGAGAAGACATAATTTGAGTGCCTCTTTCATTGGTTTTGTCCTGATTAAATATGTTAATGCATATAAAGTATACACAGTGCCCGGCACACAGAGTTCTCAGTATATGCTAACTGTAGTTGTTACTGATCGATTTCTTCAAACCCTTGAGGACACTGGCCTCTGTGGCAAAGGACCAAATGAGTTTGTTTAGAGGGTGCAGTGTCAGTTACAGCAGGTTTTCTCCCTCCAGTAGGTTAGCCATGTGGGTCTGTTCCATTGTCACAGATTAAGATCCACATATATGGTAATGAAACTTAGAAAATATATAAAATGAAAATATCATCCATAGATTCATCATTAAAAGAGAACCACTGTTAGTATTTAGAGTGTTTCTTTCAAATGTGTCTTTTCCCTAGTTTAGGATTATTTTTTCAAAGTCATGTATAATTTTATATTTTGCTGTTTTTCACTTAGTAGTATCATTTTTCACATTTGCTACACTTGCTTTATAAATATTTTTATTGCTAAAAAGTAGCTTTTGTTCTCAATTTTTAGGTTCAATCTATAGACAAATCAAATAATGTATTTTCTAATGATGATCTAATATATCATTGTGTGATTATACCAGATGTTTTTTAACTTGACCTTGATTGTTGAACATTTTAGTTGTTTGCATTTTTTATACTATAATAAATAATGCTACTAAGAGCATCTTAATACTAGTAACTTTTTTCTCTCTTTAGGATTATTTTACCAGGCAGAAGGCACAGAAATAGGTCAAAGATTAAGAAAATATTAAGAATGAAGAGTTACATGTTCAAGAAAAAGATAGTTACATGCTACATAAAAACTTTTAAGCTTTCAAGTAGAGGCACGGAAGGTGGGCTTCCCACACTTTCTACCCAGTCTGAAAGAGTAGCTAGTGAGGGATTGAAACCCTCCTCCAAGAATCCCTTGTTTGGCAGGTTGCCAGATTCCTCACCTGATGGTCAGCTTTCCTCCTGTTCCTAATCTATATTGTTCTGGCTGAGAAAGTGTCAGCTGTTTCCCCTTGCCTTGGGGACTGTCACTGATGCCTGACATCAGAGGGGTCAGACAGTGTGGGCTTTCACAGTATTCTCTCTGGCCAGACTCATGTTCTATTGGCCTACAGATCCCAGTCCCCCGGCCAGCTGAAGTGAGTGCACAGACTTTTTCTTGGCTACCTGCTGCCAGGTCATTACTTCTGCACCTGCATCTCCCATGTCTTTCCTGGCACAGGTGTAAACAGAAGCAGGCTATAGTCCAGGATGAGCTGTTCCAGGTGGCACCGAGGGAAAGAGAAGCAGCCACGCAGTACCAAAGTGCATTCCTGCATCAGGGGGAGGGCAGCGTTGACCAGGAGAAGCAGAAGTCAGCCCTGCTGGTGAGTGCAGATCTTCCTAAGCTGGCCTTTCATGCTCTAGCAATGCAGGGAAGTAGAAGTTGGGCCTGGGACCTGATTGGTCTGAAACCTGGGGCACAGGCTGCCGATTGGATGTCCTCCAAGTCAACTTTGCAGAAAGGGTGTCTTTTTAGGGATCAGAAACTTGGTTCCTGTAAATCTGGCTGTGACACTGATACGCATTGCTACCTCTGGCCTATGTTTTTGGTCTCTGCAGAACCTCAGGTCTATAGTGTAAGGGTTGGATCATTTGATGGCCTGGTGCTGCTTTAAAACTTGAGAGTTGTAAGTTCTTCAGTGGATTGTGTGTCAGGAGGGTGTAAAGGGAGAGGACTGGGGTTTGGGGCCATGCAATGAACAAAATGTTGGATTTGTAAAGTTAGGCAGCCTGGGTGTGAATCGTAGTTCCCTACTTGTTAGCATGGGCACATCCTCTAGTGTCCATGAGCTTTTGTCAAGGATCAGGATGTTTGTACACGCTATTGCCCAAGGGATCAGTGGAGGTGATAAGTAACTGCGAAGGACATAGTACTCCCTGGCAGATCAAGGGTGTGTGCTATTGTTGCTGTTATTGTTATTAATACACTAAACCGATGGGAGTCTATTAGTTAGGAGTCATTCTGCTATAAGTGCACAGATGTTCAAAGTGTACAGTAGTCACATACAAAGTGTTGTTGAACTGTGCCCGCTGGGAAATATGAACAATGTAGGATCTTCTTCTTTGGGAAATTTTCAGTCTAGTGGAGAAGACAGACTTACACCAAAACTGAAAAGGCCAAATCAGTTACATAGTGTGCAGTGGAGGTAAAGATAATATGATCGGGAATATGAAAGCAGTGGTGTCAATCAACTGCTGGTGGAAGAGATGACATTTGACCTCAGCCTTGAGCAATGTGGAGCCCCCAGGCTGAGGGAGCAGCCGGGCTGAGATAGGTGGATATCCAGGAGGTAATGGGACACCAAAAAGTGAGTAAGGTATGAAGGCAGATTAGAGAAGGCCTGGGACACCTTGAGTAGTTAACCCACAATATAGCTCACAGCGACTCTGAAATTGCAGAGGTTCCCAGATGTTCATAAGAATGGGAATGATGTGATTTGATTTGTGTTTTTAGAACCCTGTGGCATCCTGGTGAAGAATCAGTTGATGCAGAGAGAAACTGGTGTGAGAACACAGTTTTAAGAGGCCCTTGCAGTTAGTCTCTGAGGGGCAGGCAGGTTATTACCCCTCTGCAGGCAGCCTGACAACCAAGTCAAAAGAAGCCTGGTCCTGGAGATTGATACAAGATATGATGCTTATCAGTATGATACAAGCAAAAATGGTTGGCCACCTAGAACAGTCATCTAGTATGGAAAATTGCAGCTTCTCGGTGTGGTATGCCTTTATTCTCACCTGGAATATATTAATTACAGTGAAAGGGAATACATAGCTTCTCTTCTCCACCTGCAAAGGAGAGTGCTGGGCCCTGTTCCCTCAGGATTGTCCCTGGAAGAGAACCTGTACAAGCAGGAAGTGATATAAATGACCTTCAGTACAAGTGTGTCGGATTTTTTAAATGAAGGGTAACTTTAAAGGACATAAATCCTTATTTGATTCCTGCCCCTAAATTTCTGGGTGGATAATGCCCTTCCTAACCAGAGTTCCTAGGGAAGCAAGTGACTTCATTTGTTTTGAAGAGGTTTAGTAACTACTTTTTGGTCATTCCCATTTTTTGACTGTTTAGCATCCTTTTCTTCATACATTTGGTACCCCTGTTTCCTTTTGTGAACTTACCTGTTTCCCATTGTTGTGTCATCTTGCTGAGATTACCATTCTAATGCCCAGCTTCCTTTCTGGAAACTAGATCTCTTCTTTTTCCCTGCCACGGTACAGGGAGAATTGGCACAGGGCCCAAGGGCAGCCAGTTAGATTTTCTTTCCAGGGACTTTCAGTTTTGAGTTAGTAAAGGGCCAGGGTGGAGTTGTTGCATGACTGACCAGGACATCATCCTGTGAGGCTGCCATTGGTTTTTGTCTGGTCCTCCTGCCTTCTTGAGGATGGATCATTTGCTTGTAACCTACTGTCACGTCTCCTTTGCTTCAGTTAGCTGGAGTTGGTTTCTGTTGCTAGGTACTATAGCAGATGCAGAGTCCAGTTTTAAAGGCTTACAACCACATTCAATATTCAGTGTAAACAGAGGAGAAGGGAAGCTAGTACCAAGCCCTGTTCTATAAGTGCCGATGAGGTACTCAACTAGATGCTGAGCAAAGCTGTGGCCATCGCTTCCATTTGGGTTGGTGTGGGTGGCATGTGCTTTTAGTGGTGTTGATTTCAAAACCATACTTTGGAGGATTTAAATAGGAGAAGAAAGATGGAGAGAAGAGCCTAACTAGAAGCACAGAGAATTTTCTATTTTCATCTGCATTTTCTAGTTGCAAGGATTGAAGGAGCCTGCTAGGCAGAGTACTAAAAGTCCCAATGTTGGGATCACAGCATATCCTCTTAGCAGGAGGCCAGGTTGCACCCTGAGGCAGACCTGGCTTAGTCACTGGCCAAATGTACTGCTGCTCACTTGTTTTTGGTGGCTTCTCTGACTAGTTTCCTCAAGCCCTGCACTCTTGAACCTGTAGCCTTGTCTGGAGGATTTTGTTCTGAGCATGCTGAGTGAAGTTTTACATTTAAAGTACTCTTCTGCTCTGTCTCTTTGCCTCTGACTTTTAGAATCTTGATTTTATTTTATTTTATTTTTTTTGGCATGAGGGAACGATTCAGCTCATAATTGAGAAAAGCTCATACTACTAATGACGAGGAAAGGTAATAATTTTTATAACCAATTTTTGATGACAAAAAGGTTCTCATTTCCCATCTACTGCATCAGTGATGAACTGTTTTTAAGTATGTTTATGCCTGATTTTTCTCACTTGCTGACTGGTAAAGCCCCAGTTATATAATTGGGCAATGACCTTGGTGTCAATGGAACCTATGCAAGGTATACTTCTCTCTGAACTGGGAGAGGATGTTTGGTGTCTAAATAAATGTTTTGGAGTCCAAAACATTCTAGAGATAAATGAACACAGTGGTTTCTTGGGCTGAGTTTTCTGATGGGGAGAGCTTTAAAAATCCCATGGATGGAGTAATAGAGACTTGGCAGTAGCTTTACTTTAGGAAAGAATGAGATTTATAACCTTGTGTATTGAATTCTGACACATATTATTAGGTATATGTGATTGCATTACACCTGATAGAAAACAAACACTTTCGTTTCTTTTTTGGTGAGCAGTTTATATATATATATGTGTATGTATGTATATATGTATGTATATAAATAAAATTTTCTCTGTGTGCTTGTATGTTAGGCATTGGGTTAATATCTTGTTAAGTAGAAATAAGTAAGATACAGCCTGACTGCTTGAAATCTAGCTGAACAGAAGTCCCACAGCTACAGATATACAGAAGAAGCCACATCAAGTCTAATAGGAGGGGCAGAGACTTGGAACACGCTGGTCCCACACCCTCATGTGGCAGTAAAAATTGTGAGGGATATCTTGGCTGTGGAGGTTCCCACTGAGGAGTGAGGGTTCTTAACGTCCCATCAAGCTCCCCAGCCCAGGGTTTCAGTGCCAGGAAGAGAAGTCCCCATAACTTGTGATTGTAAAAACCAGCAGGATTGTGGCTGAGTGAGAGGAAGGACTCCTGGAGTCCCAGGCAGTCCCTTCTAAAGGGCCCACACACAGACTTACTTGGATTCACTTGCTCTGAGCTCCGCCACTGAGGCAGCAGCTTGAAAGTGACCATGGAAGGAATTTAATTTTTCAGGGCATCAGGGTGAGAGCTGGAGGGGCAGCTTTTCCTCAGACAGAAGTACTGGTAGAGGCCATTGTTCCTTTGCTGAGCCCTACCCATAAAGAGCCAGCAGGCAGGCTCCATATCTGAGTCTTCATCAACCTGACTAACACTGTTTGCCCTGTGCTGGTGATCTGTGACTTTGTCCCAACCAACTTTTGGGCCCACTCAAGCCATTTCCAGTAGCATTTCCACAAAAATGGCCTGTCTTGGCTCATGCTTTGGGCTTTCCTAAAACCTCTCAAACAAACAGCATCTTGTCTCAGAATGCCCCACTTGCTAAGTGGCCCCAGGCATAGTACTAGTGGCAGTGGGCCTCAGTTCACAGCTTGATCTGTCCCTGGTGCCTCCAAGTATAGCACAGATAACAGCCATTTGCAGATCACTTTGTAACTCAGGTGGTTTTGCCCCAAGCAGGGCACAGGTGGTGGGTGACCTTGGCCTATACTTCCCAGAAGGCCTCAGGATCAGCCCACCCTGTGGGTAGCTTCAGACCACGTCAAAGTACCACCCAATCACTTCCACACTCAACTGATACACTCAAGGGGTGGATTCAGTGGACCCCAGAGCTCTACTGAAGTGAGTCCTGCTCTGTGGAGTGAACCCTTACATAGCTGTTCCTATGCAGTGGTCACAGCCAGTCTGCACAGCCAGTCAGCCTGGGTATAAATTCCTGCCATTAAGGAACCAACAGCAATCAAGGTTCAACTACAACAGGAGGGTGTACACAGCCCACATGGGGGGATGATGCCCAGCTTGGGTATTGAGGAGGCTGTGCACTGGACGCTATAGGACATTTACTATATAAGGCTAGTCTACCATGCTACGGAGATGTAGCAGCTCTACCTAATATATAATAACAAAAACATGGAGGCAGCCAAAATGAGGAGACAAATAAACATGGTCCAAATGAAAGAACAGAACAAAACTCCAGAAAAAAAACTAAACAAAATGGAGACAATCAATCAATTAGGTGTAGAGTTCAAAACATTGGTTGTAAGGATGGTCAAATGAACTTAGGGGAAGAGTAGAGGAACTTCATGAGAATGTCAACAAAGAGGAAACAAAAACAGAGGATGATAAAGAACATAAAAAAGAATCAGTCAAAAATGAAGTATACTTTAATTGAAATGAATAATATATTACAGAGAATCTGCAGTGG